TTTGCAAAATTCTTCAATATACCGGGTGTTAGTTAATATTCTATGTTTATTTCATTTAATTAATGTATGATATACTGAGCTAAGATTGTCGGTATTCGATCTGAAATTCATGGCATTGTTATGTTTTTTAATCTGTATCATTTCATGGACTCTTCCCTCGTTAATCAGTATTTTTGTGTTATCAAAATCAAAATTATGCAACTTCTTTTGCGCATGCTGTGCTAATGCTGTACCATTTTCGTTATTTTTTCTTAGGCTATACTTATGTTCGTATATTCTTTTTTTAGATCTTGTCCTGTTTGACCTATGTATGTGTTATCACAATTCAAACAGTCTATTTTGTAAATTACATTAGGCGTGTCTAACTTGTCAATCCTATGTTTAAATTTTGTGAAACATTAATTTGCTAAGGTGTTTTTAGTTTTTTCTGCTATGTTGATATTATGTGATTTGAATATATTTTTATTTTTGTGTTAATTTCCGGAATATATGGTAATGATATATACTTGATATCACCTTCTCTTCTTTTATTTATGTTTTTCCATTTAATGCTATGAATTACAGATCGGATACGGACAATCTTAGCTCAGTATATCATACATTAATTAAATGAAATAAACATATAATATTAACTAACACCCGGTATATTGAAGAATTTTGCAAACCAAAAATAATATTCTCGGAATTCAAAGAAAAATAGCTGAAAGTAAAAGAAATCAATATAAACAATATTTTATTCGTTTTGTGTCCAAACTGTACAAAATTAATACTCCAAATGTATGCCAAGGCTTAAAGCAGCAACAACGCTACACGTGTAAGTAAAAATATTTACTTAAGTATCTGAACAAAGAATTCTAGTCTCTTCTCAAATTTATTGTCCTGACTAGTCACCTGTCAGGCCTAATTAATTTTAGAATGTTTTAAAGTGTTGCAATTGTGATGTGTTTTAATGTGTGATTTGACGAATTTTTTTTTTAACTATGTTATTTTAGAAAAACTGATGATGGTGGAAAAATACACCGAAACGTATTTTAATTGATAAATAAAGACAATAAATGACTGAAACCCAGAAATTAATTTTGATTTGGAAGTAAAAGTAATGAAGAAAATCTAAAATCATTGAAAATATTGAACAAATGATTCAGAGAGACTTTTCAGTTTTTCGCAATTTTGAGCGGTTTAATGATAAATACTTAAGTCACATAAGTACACTTTAGAAATCTAAAAAAGATTAAGACAATTGTTCGTGGAATATACTTAAGGGCAGTTTTTTCGAAAAATATACATAGCACCAAAACTCGTCGTCTTTTGAACTACGAAAAATCATGCTTATTCAGCACCTATTTTTACAAAAATTCATATAAATTAAATGATTTATGGGCCAGAAAAAATTAAATACTGAAAAATTTTGACGGTTAATTTGAGGTTATGTCAAAGTATACAAAAGCTTTAGATTTTTGTAGTATATAAAAAAGCGCATACATTTTGTATACTAAGTAAGTACCTACCACACGATTTTTTTATATCTACTATTAGAGAAATGTCCAAATGTTTTTGTGGTACGTAAGTACAATGAATATGCAATTAGGTATATCCTTTCCATTTGGTTCCTCTGTTAATAAGATTAAATATGCCCGAAAGCATATATTCAATCAATTCTAAAAATTAAATAACATTTTATATTTGTAGAAAAATTCAACTTCGCGGGGGATGTCCGAATATTTTTGTGATCCACTGTATACTTATATAATTGTATTGCAATTGCTAGATTTGAAATAGATTTGCATTATGTTCCATTGTCACAAACTTACGTATATAAAGTGATATTGTTTAATGTGTATACAGTTATAACACTGTTCACACGAGAGTTTTTGCATCCAAAAATAGGTTAAGCAAGCAAGTATTAGACAGACGTTTTTGACTTGCTGTAGAATCATTTCCTACAAACAATTGAATTGTGTTTTTGTGCTTTTCAGAAGAGAACTTAGGTAGCTACCTGAGATAAAGCGTTAAGAAACCACACAGTTTGGCATTTGTATTGATAATAAGACCGTATGGTGTAAGTACCGTTACCGCGTATGGTATATGTGTTACCGACAATGTTCAAAATGACCATTCTGCAAACTGACCGACTCGCCGGTCACTTTGCAGAATCGCATATACTTTGGACAATCTGCAAATTGACTACAATATTTCAGGCAATTTGCAAAATGCCGTTCGCGTTAGTCAATGTGAGTGTCACATATACAACATATGTAACATTATACTTAATTTATCCCCAACATTAAAGTATGCAAGCATAAATCATTAGCTCCATAGCCGCGGAAGTTATTAAAATTTTTGTGCACTCACTAAATTATGCTATTAGTTTGTTTTCATTAACCACATTTACATAGGTATTTCCAGCCGCTCATTTCTCGAAAATTTTGAATCTGTCTTATGTCTTCATATTTAACCTTTGATTTTTCACTGAAAAATTTGTCCGCTATTCATTAAACGTTTTTCCATTTTAAACTAAATTATAAACCAGAATACCAAAAAAACGTCGTTTAAAAAAATGTTTTTCTTACACGACGCTAATAGGACGGGACATGTAGATATAATTGAACTAATAGGCAACATTTTTTGCACAAAACATGTTGTGTCAATGTGAAACAAACGAAAATATCAGATTGACAGATGATGAGAACACTCAGATTGACTTGACTCTCGCGTACGGCATTTTGCACATTGCCTGAAATTCCGTAGTCAACTTGCACATTGCCCAAAGTAGAAGCCACTCTGCAAAGTAAGTGCCTGGCGAGTTGGTCAGTTTGCAAAATCCAATTAATGCCTAAGCATTTTTCACATTGCCGGATTTCGTCCACTGCCGCTAACATATGAACTGCAATATTAGTTTAAAGTAAAGCTTCGGTCAGTAAATATAAATTAAATCGAAAAGCCACGCAAACAGCATAAGTACAATTGAAAAATCAGACAAAAACCGTCTAGTACAAAGAGTATCGGGAACAACAAAAGAAAAAGCTTACCTTGTTCATTAATCCACAAGATTGGCGTAAATAGGTAATCCTATCCAGTGAAAATTGATTAATCCAAGACACAATGAGAAACACACAATATCGATGGTCAAATATGAACAAACCCACGCGCGCTCACTTATAGTGTAAAACAAAAAATCACTTTAAATGAAGAAACAAAAATAACTCATAAACACCGCGACGTGGCACAGAAATAGCAGTTCCTAAAACACAATCCAATCCTGTTAGAATGACGCGGTATAATGTGCCAGTATTTTTAAAACTTTTCCTGAAAGCGAGGGCACAAATCCGCACCAAGACGAACTGAACTAGATCCAAAGTAAGCGCAGTAAATACTTCAACACTATTAAACCAAGAACTAATTAAACTTCATGGCTCCAGAGAAGCCTGCCGAAAAATTTCGATATTTTTACGACAATGAAAGAGACAAAGTGGTTTAAAGGCGCGGTTCGACGTAGCACGCACCGAGACAAACGACTCACACGAAAACTCGCACTGGAATGAGCGCTCGCGGGGAATTGAGAGGAGCGCAGGGGTCCGTTCGCCTGTGGTGGGGGCTTGCGGATGAGAAGGATGAGATGCGCTGATGACTGATCGTACAAAAATTCTCAAAACGTGGAATTTTTGTGACCTGAGAAAGTAGGTCCATCGATAAATCTGGGATTGGTTTTAATGATGTTAATCAGCTCCATATACAAGGTGTTTCATGATGAAGGGGCATTATTTTAACCACGCATTAGGTTCGAAATCAATCCTAGTTTGCTATATAGGGTGTCCCACCCGGAATCTTGAAAATTGGACAGTCTACCGAAGCTATTGGGGGCAAGCGATATAAAATATTTTGAAGATGGCCACACTTCCGGAAGTCGGAATCAACACTCTATACAGGGTGGTCATTTTCTCAATCTTTGTATGGGTAACTTCTGCATTTTTAAAGATAGAGCATCCGTTAAATGGGCAAAATTGGGCAGAATTCGATTGCCTATTCATTATTGTTTTCAAAATTTAGGTACCCGACTTGGTTCCTGAAATATTCTGAAAAGACAAAAAAACAACACTTTTTTAATTATAACATATTACGTAAACTGCTTAAATTAGAAAAAAAGTTAAAATTGCCCTTGGTAGAAAAAATAAACGTATGGTTTTTTAAATGGTAATCATAATTGGTTGTGGGCCTTTTAAAATCCTTATTTTTTTTTTAATTTAACGAACTGTTTGTATGTTTATTTCTTCTTTTAACTCTTTAAAACTTTTAACTTTTCTTTTAACTTTTTTAAATGTGTAGTAGGCTCTGGAAACTAAGAACTATATTATCATACAAAGTACAAAACAAAAATGAAAAAACTAATCGTTTAAATTAAATGTTCAAATTGACTTCCGTTTACGTCCAGGCACTTTTGGCATCTTCTAATAATTTCTACTGACACCTTTCTTATGATTTGTGGACGGATACTTCTTATTGCTGAACGTATTCTATTTACTAGCTCTTCAATATCATTGGGGTTTGTCATGTAGATCTTGTTTTTAAGGATACCCCACAGAAAATAATCCAGAGATGTTAAGTCCGGTGAACGTGCTGGCCACCGAATGGGTCCTGCATTAGCGCCCCATACACGGGCAGATTATCCGTACAGTTCAGATACGCAGATATTTGATTCTACAGATCAAGATCGGACGAATTAAATCTTTCCCTGTCCACTAATTGGCAATCCAACCAGGAAGATGTTGTTGTGAATATTCACATACAACTTGTGAGTTGTGTGGAGGTGCACCATCATGTTGAAAATATGTCAATTTTCGATACGGTGCTAACGGCAAACTATCCAACATGTCTTCAAATATTTTGTAAAAAGTGTAAATATCTTTTAGTATTTAAATTGTGATTATAAAAGAATGGACCAATAATTTTATCACTAAATTGCGAAATCAAACATTCACAGAAAAACACGTTGATCTGGCCTATTTTCAATTAGATGAGGATTTTCAATAGCCCAGTAAACATGATTGTGTGTGTTGAATATTCCGTTGTTAGTAAACCGAGATTCGTCAGTAAATAAAATAGCGAGTGGAAAGTTTGGATCTAATAGCGTTTTCTCCAGAAACCACCTAGCAAACTGAAGTATTCGTCTAGAATCCCCGAGATGCATAGTATTTGCAATGTGGTACTTGAAAGGCTTGAATTTATTTTGTTTTAGAATCAAACAAGATTTTTCCTTAGAATCATTACATTTACTAGCAGCTTCTCTGATTGATGAATTTGGATTAAAATCGGTGTAAGCTAAAACTCTTTCTTCATCTTGTTCTTTAAATTTAATCTTCCCCTTTGTTGGCTTTTTAAATGGTCCGTATTTTTTCAAGTTTTTATTAACTAATGAGATTTATTAACTCAAACTACTAAAACTTACAAACTTACTAAAAAGGTTGCTCTCGCGATGAACATAAATTATGCTGCCTAAGCAATGTGGCTTTGTGGTACACTGTGGTCCATAACATATATATGGCTGAACTTATATTGATAATATTAAAAGCATTTTGATTATAGTCTTATTCTAACACCACCATTTCTCAGTCTGGTCACCCTGCTGGTCCGACGTACACAAATCAAAAATTACGATTACTAATCGGACGTTGAAACTAGGAATCCAACTCGAATAATTCTAGTACATATTCGAGTATTCGAATATTCAAAAGCGAATAATTATGTGTAGTCATAACTCGAATATTCGAATACTCGAATACTCGAGTACTCGAATACTAGAATAATCGAATAGTCGAATACACGAATACACCAACATTATCAAACTCACAAGGTGCAAACATTAGGGCTCGGAATTTCTAAAAATCTGACATTCGAATATTCGTTTAGTGGTTTATTCGAATAGTAAAATTATTCGAATATACGAATCTCTACCCAATATTCGAATAATCGGGTATTCGAATATTCGAGTATTCGAATATTCGTTAGATATTCGAGTGTTCGTTTTCCGTTCACCGTTTTCCAAGAAAAAAAATCGTTGTCTCATATCATTTATGGCAATTAGCCACAACGGATAAAAAGGTGCCTTTGTCGGCACATTAATTGTAACACCGCGCAAAAGTTGATGACGCGATCACCAGAACACAGAGACGTAATTTTATATTCATTTGCAGGAGAGTAAGCCCTAAACGTTGTTTCAGCAGACAATTTTTTATAGTAACATTTAATCATTTTTACGCATTGTTCGACAGTTAGATGAATCAAATTTGATGATAGATTACGTTTAAATTTGACAGATATCAAATAGCAAGGTTTTACTTTCCCAAACCTTTAACTATTTTTCTGAATTCGGTCAAGTTTATATACCTATACTTATACTCAGTAACCACCCAGCTTTTTGATGGTTAAAAAACTGTCTACTACTTTTTGCTCCTTTTTGACCAAAATGAAATAAAACTGCTCCTTTGCTGTCACTATAAAAGTGCAATTCGTTAACTATACACTAGGATGTTTAAAAAAGACGCGGCCATATTTAAGGACCTGATTTCTTAGACCATTTTATGAGAAAAAGTTCCCACAAACATACGTTCGAAAGTGCACGTTTCCAAGATACAGAGGGTTAAAATTTGAGTTTAATTTTTGTTTTTTCCTTATATTTTTCTAAATAATGCCAATCATGTATAGTTGAAATTTGATATTTAGTGGTCTTTGAATTAGAAATTTTACATTTATTTTATATTCATTAATTTAGCTCTAACTTGTAGGGGCGCAATCAACATGACTTTTTAGAAGTAAACATTCAGCACTGTTACAGTGAAAAAAGTGGCTGCTAAATTTTTGACTAATCCTGCAGAATGCAAATAAATGTTCATTTTCAAAATATTAAATGTTTACTTATCATATGATCCGCTTTTAATTTAAAACATGTTAAAGAAATATCTGATTAAAAATCAATTTTGAGCAAAATTGAATATTCGCGGAAAGAAGGAAAACTTAGATTATTATGTTCTTATTCAGGGACGTACGCAAAGGAGACATATCGTCCAGCTTTTACATTTTGCTGGGGAAATTCCAACTGGGACTTGCAAGAAGAAGAAGTTGCAGAAGTCGAAAATGTCCAAGAGATTCCACAACAGCTTAGACCTGAGAACCCTACGACCGAAGTTTCAGAGCCACGCCGCTCCCGGAGGAACAGGAAAGCTCCTCAGCGTCTGGAAATCTAGATCAAGGGGAGGATAGTGTTGCGTCGCCACACAGATCGTAATAGATCACTTTTATCAATCGTTCTCATCGAACATTTAATTCATTGTATTACCATTAAAGGTGAAGGTAAAGCTCCATTTGAATCGGTAGAACAGTACTACAAAGTTTCAATTCTCTGACCAGTTATTGATATTATGTACGAGAAAATAGAGTCCAGACCTGAAGAAAATAACCTTGATATACTTAACTACTTAAGCAAAATTATAGGTGGATGATAGACATAGCCCGTCTACAGTACGCGTGCAAATATTACGATTTAGACAGTGAGGTTGTGTCTGAACTGAGATGTTTCTACAAAACGGAAGAATCAAGAACTAAAACTATTCAAGAAAAAGCTGACGTTTTTGAACAAAAACACTTTGAAAAGTATGTTCCCTATTCTTTTTGAAGTTTTTCATGTGTTTTTTTGCGATTCTAATAAACTGCATGTGAGAGGTTATTTTCGTGCTTACGACGGTTACAAACATACACCAGAAGCAAGATTGTCCTCGTTAGCCCTTTTTGGCTATTGAACGAGTGTTGTAATAAACATTTTCAAAGTTATTGATGCCTTTAATTCAAGTCAAAAAAGAACACTTCAATTTATGTAAAAAACTTTTAATATGTATGATTACAATTGAGTATAATATTTCTTTGCATAATGTTTACTTAATATGTATAATTATAATTAACTCGATATCTTGAGTTAATAACTCAAGTGATTATTACAAATTATTGTTTTAGTTAAAATTGCTATAAATTAAATTGCTGCAAAAATAGTCTGGAAAAACAAACTTAAAATCAAGTTTAAACATTTTTATGGAGGAGGCCCCTTTTCAGCTGAGTAGGTTCTGCCACATCAGTTTAAATCCTGAAATGACGCCCATGACTGTAGCGTTGCCTTTGTCAGCGGGTTCTTCTCTACTTAAGCTGCTTGGTGGCGGTTTCACTCTCCGTTAGTGGTGGGCAAGTCGGGTCATTTCAAAGATCCGGATCTTCTTAAAGATTCGGATCCCAAGTCGGGTCTCGGGTCAACGGATCCAGAACAATAGAGCTTCATTACGAATCGATGGGCCAATCAGTGGTGGTTACAGGGGGGTGCACGCAAGGGGTGTGCGCCGCCCCTCCCGCCCTGAGCATATACTTTTCATTATTTAAGATGCAATTTAATATGGTTTCCTTTGTTGTTTACTTTAAATACTATTTATTATTGTTTCTATGGGTGTTTGTCGTTTTTAAGTGCAATAAAAAACCCCCCTCACTCAAAAAACTCCGAGATT